GAAGTAAAAACAAACTACGACGTCGGGCTGCATCTATCTTGTGTATCAGCGTTAGTCCTGCCCGTGGCTCTGACTGACTAATCATTAGTCCCCCAGCGGCGCTCATTGGTTAATCGCTTTTGCAACCGAGAAACCGCTGATTCATGTCATAAGTGGAGTGGGCAGATTCAAAGGCAAGGACCCAGGCAATGAATTGATTGTTTTTTACTGAGAATATAAAATGATTTGAAAATTGCAAAAATATGTGGGAAATTCAGATAATCAATACTAATAACTACCAACTGCAGCACAAATGTTCTCTCAAATTTCAATGTTCCCAGTTCAATAAGATGGAAGGACTTTGGCTTTCTCTTCGTGTTTCTCATCATTAGCTGTCAAAGCACATTATGAGCAGTCATTGTCATGTGATGCATGAAAACACAGTTAGTTTAAACCAACCTACCTCTTGATATTTTAATGTCAATATTGGCACAAACAAAAAAATCACAACTTAAATATCTGAGACAAGATGGACTTAAAGTCTATAAAACAGAAATCATTGTCTCACTTATATGATCTTTGATGAAGTCTTTGCATTTGGATTGAAGCTGGGTTAGCTCTTGCGTTTTCTTGACACCATCAGAAAATCAAAACATTTTCAGAGTTGTTTGACATGCCACAAAATGCTGTCATTGTGTGACTGGCAACTGAAAACAATGGATGACTTTTGAAATGAAGCACTAGGCTATATGAAGCATGTCAAAGTCACTCTCAGTGCAATTGAAGTTTTCCACTTGATATTTATTTGTCTAATGCATGACACTTTAAATCCTGAAGAAGCACACATTTAAATAACAAAAGCACTTAAAAGTGACACTTCACCCAAAATCTGGATTTTAGAGCCAAATACTCAAGTACCCTAATATAAGCTTGAAAGGAGGTCGTCAAATCCAAGTAACATTATCAGAGACCAAGGGTTGCTGTCAGCTTGAATACATGTATTAACAGAGTCCAATAATTTTCAATAACGAAAACATCCATGGAAACTGGTACTCTGCTGTCCATCTACATGTCCAAGTGCCGTCCAAGTACGCAAATATGCGTTTCAAACACGTTTTCAAGGCTACAGATGTAAAGTAGCATTTGAGATGATGAGTTGCAAAGTGTAAATGAAGGCATCCCTCATGTAACCTAGCCACTGTGCTAATTCCTTTGGATTGTGTCATAAGATCCATACAATCACTTTGATGCTATATAAAGGGGATATTAATATGGCAATGACGAATATCAGTAATATATGAAAAACAATTTTATTGATTACATATTTATTGTATCAGGAGTGGCTAGTGACACCTTTATGAATATCTTCACACAACTGTGGTTTACAGGCGTTCTTGGTGCTTGACTGCAACAAACAAATGTATACGTATGTATAACAAATACATGCTGTCAGGTAGGCCAGGTTAATATACAGAAGGAAGGATGTCAAATATCATCTATGTAGTAATGGTAAAGGTGTGGAGATTACATGTTCAACTTTGATGCTGGACAACAAATTTCTTGTTTGCCGATTTGCCTAAACTTAAACAAATGTTTTACTTGGCCCTGATGGGATTCAACATAGCACTCTGACATACATGATATACGTCCTTAACCATATCCTAACCACAGTTTGTTTGCCATAACCACAATCCTTCTTTACTGTAACCATACTTTATCCATACCTTAAAGGGATACTTTGCGTCTCTTTTCCAATAATTTTTTTGTTAAATTCAGCGAATATTTCCTCATGGGTAGGTAGCTCTGTGTTTTTCGTGTGCTCTGAAAAAAAATCCTGTTTTCCCTACACAGCCCCTGAGTGTGTAAATTGAGCACAAACAAAGCTGCTCGGAGCGAGCAGCAGGTGGCGGTGGCGCGCTCGAAGCAGTGGGAGAGAGAATGTAAACAAACAGCGGTAATTTCGAACATGCTGGACTTCTTACGAGACTTTAGCAGTGAAGATGACAGAAACAGCCACAGAGGTAAAGGTCTGAGGAATTGTGGGACAAATGATATGACCAGGCGAGGGGAAGGCCTGTGTTAAATTCTGTGAGGGGTTTCAATTCTGGATAAATCTACGAGATTGGAAAGGAACGAAAACCAATGCTGAGGTTGCTCTGTTTCTGTCACCTGCTGGACAGGTGAGTAGGCTAACGTTAGCTTTGCTGTTCCACATAAACGACAGGTTCAGTATTATTGTCTTGTCTGTCTGTTGTCATGTTTGTGATGATCCCAGCTGGTTAGCTTTGTTAGCTTTGCCGTAGCGGTCAGTATGTGTGGGGTAGAGTAGAAATAGACGGAGCGCGTGTGTGAACAGTGCCCCGGCCAATAGAGAGAAGCGGGTTAGCAGTGACACTTGTTTAGCAGTAAATATACAGTAGAAGTTCCAGAGGCCGGTGAATAAAGACTGCAGCTTCTCAGGACTAAAGAGGAGCTCCTTTGTGTTGCTGCCAACTGTTGAATAAAGAGTGAAGGAGGTTTGCCCCAAAGTTAGCTTTGACTTCGGCCCTGGAGATAAACAGTCGCTCCTGTGCTTCCCAACTCTTATCAGTCACTGTCTTTTAGTACAAACTATTTCAAATAACTCTCTGCTGCATTTAGATGCTGTGTTTGTCTGCTTACATGTTTGATGATGTTTGTTCACTAATTGTACCTATTCCTCTCGATAATCCTACCGAACTACTCCGTGTCTTAGATTTAGACTTAGAAAAGTATTTTGCTTCAATACATTTTTAAATATTGACAGGCCTGTTGTTACACCTTCTACAGTACTGCTAAAACATGCCCTCCTACTGAGGCTAACATGCTCTCGGACAGCAGAGGCTGTGGATTCTGCTATATTTCAGCAGAGTAGGACTGGTTACCATGGAAATTGTTGTTCATGAGTTTGTTTATCAACAAACTCTCTGCAGAATCGCATAGTCTCCCTTTAATAATGCAGTGGTTGTCATGCACTGGTACTGTAGGAAGAGTTCATTTAAAACACAACATTGCCATTGAACTCAGCGTAATAATACTCCAACACTGATATATGGTAGAAACCGCAAATTACAGTAACTTTTGTTGTATGAATATCAGATCCTCCTCTGTCATTTTTGATTTTTTTAAAAAGTGTGCAATGCCAAATGAGAACTCAAATTACATGTTGAACCATACATCCAGTTCAATACAAGTACCGGCTGCCTCCTTCTTTCAATGAGAAATCCTTTGACCACTCTCTGATTCGTTATCCTGTTTTTTCAGTTAGATACCTTTCTCCCACTCTGCGACCTTGTATCACTGGCAGAGCATTGCGATAAATGTCTTGTGTAACAGTCCTATTACTTCTCTCTTTCTAAGGTGCTTTTCATGTGTCAGGCTCTCTTTGACAGAAGACATTTATCACAATTTCTGGGCCATTGCCCAGAGCTGAAACAGTCCATGTGATGGAGGTGTGAGTTGTTCACTCTGACCCACTAAAACACTGTGTAACTCAGTCCGTCTCACAAGAAGTCGGGCCCACAAAGTCTGCATCCTTAAGGCGGTGTTCAGACTTAAAATATCACTCACTGGTTCCTGGTGCTACAAAACCCAGTGTGGTTGTCTAGTTTGACTAATAAGCCATGACTTCATAGGCGCACAATGATTTTTAGCAGATTTTAAAACTAGAAAGCTGGATATCCTTTCACCAACTCGACTATAACAAAGTAAACAGCAGAATAATGTCATTTACATTAAGGGATCAACCAGGAATGTGTCTCTGACAATATTTGTTGGGTAACGCAATGCATAGCTCAGTAATGTCAAACTGTGGCAAAAGTAAGACCAGGTTAAACATTTTTGCCAGACCCCCGGTGTTGTTTTGCCGGAGCCCTCTGAGTTGGCACCCCACTTTTCCAATGCATCAGCCTCATTGAAATGGAAGCTGTGTTTTTTTAAATCATGCTATTGTCAGTCTGAACATGGCCTAATACCCTTCTCTGGCAATCTGTTAACCATTCATTCTACTGTCAGAAGTGGTCTTCTTTTTGGCACAGGATGACAATAATTGCTATTTTGGTATGAGCGCATGAGGCAGTCTTTGGGTGTTCCATATAATGGAGCACAGGGCTCAGAGGAATGTCAGCCGTGTTTATCCCTCTGGTTATCCCTCTATCTAAATCTTTCCTTCAACTGATGATGAGGCTCTGGAGGACACGCTGCTTTAATGGGAATACTGCATATTTCACGTTTTCTCTTTTCATCCAAACCTCTCTACCCCATTTCTCTATTTTTATTTGTGCCTTCTTCCTCTCTGTTTGTGTGTGTGCCTCCTTCTAGCTCAGCACTGGAACAGTATTTGCTCCATGAGGGTCGGTTGACAGCTATCCTCTCTCTCATAGCCGTAGACTGTATTGGCAATCTCTCACAGCAAGGGCTCATCCTTTTACACCACACTGCTATCAACAGAGGGCCAGCTGTAAGCAACACCCGCTGCTTTCAGCTTATCTTTAAAGCCTTACCATTTGGATCACACTGACCACGAGGCAAGAGTGGCGTTCATCATGTAGACGTCATTTAAAACTCATCTATCACTGGAGCAACATCATTAGTGCAGCTCTACACATCAAACATAAGCCTCCCCTCATTTAAAATCCCATCATTTAGTCGTGTGACACAGCCATTTGAAGACACGGACAATGTGAAAACAATGAGGTGATACTGTGTGAATTTGTGGCACTTGTTAAATGGATTAGGTTTACTGATTCTCTATTAACACAGAGCATTTCAACATCAAGAGAGACATTTTAATTAAAATAGAAAGTGTCGCACACACAAGTACATACACATATGCACAGTTCAGCTTTTATAGTTCAGGAAATTTTTAAATTATGTATGTTCAGGTAACACCTGTCACATAAGTTGAACATATTTCATAGAATTCTGTGTGTGTGGGTGTGAGAGAGAGAGAAACACTTTACACCAGCAACATCAACAGCATATTAATGATGTGGTGTGTTTACCTGGAGGCAGGCAGGCGCTCGGCCATGTGGTTTGTTGACGTCCACAGCTACAAGCTGCCATCCCCCGGCAGCATCTTCATGGAACATCTGTGGCGCAAGGACAGCACATTAGGGGCAGAACACACAAAAAAGACCTGCACACCATTCAAAATACTGGACAAAACTCAAACACACACATCTATCCTTTGGCTACATCTTCATAAAACATCTGTGGCCACAAAAAAGCTGAAGGCATCACACACACAGGTTCGTATCCACTCAAACACAGTATGATAGATACTAAATACAGCATGTAGGCCTGAGGACCTAACACCAGAAATAAAACACACCAATATCACAGCAGAGACCTTCAAACTCACAAGACAGCTGGCTCACTCATGAATATCAATTCCTCTAAAACATGAACACAACAACTTAGTAATAGGCACTATTATGAAATCCATAGCTTTTAACATCTTGTTTTTATTATAACGTGGCAAAGAGAATACTCTCTTTAATGTCAAACACATAGTGTTGATATCATTCAACTTCAATGAAGCCAAAGAGGACTTTGGTGCAATTCAACTTCAAGTTCAGTCCTTAATTACAACTCCACTCATCAAAATGTGGGACAGAAATCCTGATCCTGTGAAACAAAAGTGGATTTATCCATTGTCATTTTATCAGTACAGTTAGGCTTTACAGCCTAATCTCTGTTAAAAGCCTCAATAGTCTGGAGACAGTATAGCAAAGTCAAAGAACAGGGAGTGTGGCATGGGTTGTGTCTCCTGGGGCCACCTTATATCAGCCTTCCTCTCAAGGGAAAATGAAGAAAGAAGCATTTTGTTTCAGCCTCTGTGATTGACAGTTAAGTGTTATGCCACAGCTAATTAGTTTTTACCCCTTTAAGATAAAGATTGGGGCATGACGATGTGATTGCAATTAATTTTGATAATGGAAAGACAGGCTAATTGTTTTCAAGGACATAGCAGTATATGCAAGCCAGTGGCACCAGCCTGTTTTCCATCATGGCTGAAGCAACAGAGGTTTTAGTTTAATGACTTTCCAAGATGTATCATTTTAAAGACTAAGAGGGAATAAGGGCACTGAAAACAGTTCACCGCTTGTCAGGCCAACTCCATTACGATTAAAAATGTCAAACTTATTATGTTTATTATTGTTATATATACCACACCTTACATTCAGTTCTGAAACAATGACTCTCCCGTCTTCCCACTTTTCAATTGTAATGTATGAAAGATTCAGAAAAAAACTTCAAACTTAAATCTCTTGATTTATTCTGCTTCATAACCACTTCTCTACCCTCTTTGGCAATCCAAGGTAGTCTACTATAAGTGTGGAAGTGTATCAAATGTGTATCATTTCAAGAGAAAAAATAGAACTGCAAGCCCCGCAGAGGGCGCGCGAGTCAACCCGTGCGCCCTGGCGCGGCTCTGGGAGCCCATGGAGAATAAATGACCAGAGTTATAAATGAAAGGGGCTTGCAGTTACGGAGATCTGAAATTAATGTATGTGTATGGGCGTGTTTTTAGCGTTTGCGCAAAAATTTGTTGGCCTATAATTCGGCCGTTTTTGGCGGATCAAAATTCCCTCTACAAACTTTCTTCGGCTTGATCCAGAGATGGTCCGTGTCAAGTTTTGTGCCAATTGGCCTTGCGGCTTCGGAGGAGTTAATTAAAATAGGTGTTCCAGTTTTTGCTATTTAGCAAATTAAAACGTCATCGCACAGAAGCGTATCCTATACCATCGGAATCGGCAGCATCCCCCAAACACGTAGACATAAGGTTTATGAATGTGCGATATAGTGGGCCGTAGTTATGAGGCAAAATGTCCCTTGGTTCAAAATCCCATTGAAATGAATGGGGTATTTGAGCTTCCATTATAGCGCCACCTTTTGGACGAATTGCACCAAATTGTGTCATCAGGGCCCCATCTGGAACAATTGGCCCAAATTTGGTATCAATCGGACTTGTGGTTCTGGAGATATAAAATGCATGTAAGTCAATGAGATTTTTTTTGACGTCTTTAATGTGTAATAACAGCACCATATTTGGATGAAGTTTGGTGCCTTGAGTCAGGGGACCATGCTGAACAATTCGGCTTGGGTTTCATGTCAATGAGACTTGTGGTTAGAGGAACAATTTATTGGAATTAAATAGCGCCACCTAGTCGCGAATGCCAGGGTCAGAGTCAGCGTCCCACATTAATGCTCCAAATTTGGTGTCGATCAGCCATTCCAAGATATGACCTCATTTCCTGTTTATAGCGTTTTTCGCAAACATTTGTTCACCTATTATTGGGACATTTTTAGTTGGATCAAAATTTCCTCTACAAACTTTCATCAGCTTGGTCCAGAGATTATCCGTGCCAAGTTTGGTGTCGATCGGACTTGCGGGTTCGGAGGAGTTAATTAAAATAGTTTTTTCAGTTTTCGCGATGTAGTGAAAAAAAAGTTTAGGCGGAAATGGGCGTGGCCCATACCACAAGATTCAGCTCGGTCCCCCGAACGCACGGATATAAGGTTTTTGATATCCGCCTTCGTGAGCGGGAGTTCCAAGGCCAAACGCGTTGACCTTGCTTATAGCGCCCCCTAGAGGTAGAAGTGTGCAGATTTTTGCGCCTGAGGTACTCTTGAGGCTGCAAACCTACCTTGTGAGTTTCGCGTCCGTAGCAGTTACCATCTAGGCCGCAGTATCAGTTTTATGCACGGAAGAAAAAAATAATAATAAAAATTCAAGCGATTACAATAGGGTTCCCAGCTCCGCTGGTATTGGGAACCGCGATGCCTTGCATTCACATTCGCGGGTTCCCAGCCCACTCAGGCTTGGACCCCTAATAATAATCAAGACCAGAGTAACAACTCCTCTCATACCTAAGAGAACATTTGTAAGACAGCTAAACATTCAAACTTGAAAAAGGGGCAAGATAATGCTAATCACCAACATGAACAGGTGCTGTTTGGACTGAATGAGGTGAGAAATCTTATATAATCAATTTATCATTTATAATCTGCCGTTTACTGTGTGCCTGTTTAGTTCAGTCAGTAGTGCACAGGACTCTTGTTCAAGGGTTGTATGTTCAATCCCTTCTTATCGCAATGTTATATTTCTCCCTTTTCAACAAATTGTTTATGAAGTGATTGTTTTACATGTTCACATAAAGCATATACAGAGTGTATTCCCCCCGCGATTGGTCCACATCGTCCTATGGACGCTTATTTTCATTTCCCCAGTATCTCCAAGCAGAGGAAATTCCTGCATTTCTCATTCAGGGGAATCCGATCTCACGTTTTCTCATGGCTTTTTCAGGGGTATGTCAAGCAAGCCAGAGACTCTTTTGAATTTCCTTCAGAACTTTTCACAGTAAAACCTCTCAATTAAACACGATATAAAGTACTGCTACAAACATGTTCTTGCGCCTTTATTTTGTAGGCACAATCACTTAAAGGCAGGGTAGGAAGTTTGAGAAACTAGCCAGAAACTGCTGGATTTTGACATTATCCAACAGAGAAACTCCCACCCCCTCCATTCTGGGCTCCTTCCAAAACCACGTCCCCAAAATACGTGAACGCGCGTTGCCGACACCGCAGGAGGACGAGGACAGCGTGACGAGCAGAGAGCAGCGGCTCACATCAGGGTAAGAAAACATCTAACTTTATCATTGTGAAAATAAACAACTAACACGCCTGTTAGTACTCACTATCAAGCTAGCATGTTATTAATGGATAGGTTAAAAAAAACGAGTTTTAATCAGTAACGAGCTGGCTAGCTAACTGTTAGCAACAGGTAGCTGTGCTAACAGCTGTGGCAACATGGGGCAAAGCTAAAAACAGGCTGATACACATTTTCTGTTACCATCAGTTATACTACACGAACGTGTATTTCGTGTTAGACTCATAGCATGTACGTTGTTATACATGTTAGAGCTTCCATGGTGACAGATTATTATCTCTGATGAGGACTGCACCACAGAGCCAAGCACAAACCGGGACAGAACCAGGACTGGGGTCGAGGCGAAGCAGAGGAGGGAGGACTGCCACATCTTCTAGGACCTATGTCGAGCTTCACACTCCAACAACAGCATATGAACAGGTATATCTATACATATATATTTTAATATTAGTCTATTATTCTGTCCTATTACACCGATCTTTCCCATTTGGGGTTCTAACAACTATATATTCCTTTACAGGCCAGAATCTGAGCACTGTGGACAACATCCAGACTACAGTGTTTCCATGCACCACGCAAGGCTGACCTTCCAGACCCAGGACAGAGTAACAGACAGTTCAGTCAGGCAGCATACAGACAGTTTGTAGTGTGGCAATGTGGAGCACTTGGTCACAGAGTTGTGATACTAAGTTGCTGTTTCTGGAAGATATGCAACCGTTATCCTGATCTATTAGGACAATACAGAGGTTTAATCGTAGCAGGGTGTAAGATGTAATTTCACCAACTGCTACACAAATAATTCCCTCCACTGTGTGAATGAATACCTATACATTGTTTTCATTTTATTCCCAGGAGGGTAGAGAAAATACAAAGATATTTATCCCTATTCTGGATAATATTTTCATTCCTTTTTAAATAAAACATTGAAAATGATAAATGCCTTTTCTTTACATTTGCAGCATAAACAATCAAGCAACTACATTTATGTCTGAAATAATGACATCCAAATGTGGTATAACACTTGTTTATTGTTATTATATACGACTAAAACTACAACCTATATCACAAATAGATCATTTTTAAAACATCAATAAAAATAAGTATATACAGGAAGAGACAAGGTGTCCAGATGTATCGACTGATTATGAAGACAGTTCAGACTTTACTCGTAGCATCGTATCGCTGCTGTGGAGATGATTAAATATATCACAGTCACCTCTCTAACATGATTACCACATTTCAAAACCAACCATATTACTTTTTGTTTTATATTTTGCTGTATCTAGCAATACAGTTGGGGCAGGGACACCTGACTGAACCCCATGTTGACAGGGATCATCAGGTCTCCTAGTTCTGCTTCTAGGCATCTCCTCAGTAGTAGACAACCGGAGGAGGAGGAGAATGAGTACAAGCTC